GTGCAAGAGCCGCTTGTCCTCATTTTTTCAGGAAGAACGGCTCTTGTGCAAGAGGAGGTTTTTCTGCAGAAAGGCACTATGTATATGGTGCCTTTTCGCACAAAAATCTTTTGCGCAAAAACGGCTCCTAATGAATTATGCAAATGAAGTCTGGCAATATGCTAATCCGCATTTTATTTGCATAGGCTTTTGGGGAAAAGGGAAGCTGTATAGATGTAGCCCTACTGTGGTTCACTGGCCCATGCAGTGGCACCGAGACCACAGCCACAGATAAAAACAAGAGACCTCTGCAGCATGGGCCGAGAGTCAGCTGGCTTTTAGCTCAGAAAGTAGAGGCTCCTACACTGAGGTCCCAGGCTCAAATCTGCCTGGGGGTGGTTATAACATCACTGTGTTCTACTATACAAACATCTGTTTTGCAGAGAATAGGCATGGATGTTACCTAGATAACTCTTCTTGATTTTGCCGCAAAAGAAACTGTTTCCAATTAGCAGCCTCTGATCAAATAAATTAATGTAACAATTTTTATGCTTCCTTATCATTAATACAAGTCCCCTAAGTGCCAGCATGTAAGTATTAGGGGGGAAACATAACAAGATACATTATGAAAATGCTAACAGAGCACTAAGCATGGTACTGAGGTTTTGTGCAAGGTTTTAAGAAACCAAAATTGCAGCAGTCAGTTCTTAACCAGTTTTTCTATGAATCAGCTGTGTCTGAGGGTCAGATCAGGGATTATTGTATCACATAATGCCTCACAGTGACTATGTTCTGCATTTTCAGGTGAAACACCCAGCTAGACTCTGACATTTAAGCCAAAGTCCTAAGCGGTCACATCTTTGGGAGGGCAACAGAAAGATTAACTATGTCTCAATCTCTCTAGTGTTGACTCTTTTATACAAAGTGAGCAATTTCACTCTTCACTGGAGCAAGCAGCTGCAACCAGTACTCTGGCCTTGTTTTGCAAGCTGATTCAGAGGGTGATCAGCTTCTTAACTTTTCCTCATTTCCTCTGCCCCCTTTTTGGATCCTGGCTCTTCAAAGGAAGAAAGACAAGCAAGTAAATAGTCCATGAGGAGCCATTTAGTATGGAGTAAAGTTTCATACTAGCCTTCTTCTCTTTGTGTGTTTGCACAGACCAGGAATGGGCAAGACAGCCTCTGTGGGCCGCATCCGGCCTGCCAACCCAATTGACCACCCTGCCACTTCCCTAGCCCCAGGCCAATAGAGACCTGGGAATGGGGGAGTGCACAAAGTCTCCTCCCCTCACCAGGAGTGTGCGGTGCCTAGAAAGAACCACCAGCTGTTCAAAATGGCTGGTGGTTTCCTCTAGGCATCACATGCCTAGGGAGCAGGGGTCAAAAGCAATGGGTAAGGGGAGCGTGCAAAGACTCCTCTTGCTGCAAGAGGTGTGTGGTGCCTAGAAGGAATCACCAGCTGTTCAAAACACCTGGCAGTTCTCTCTAGGCACGGTGTGCCTCTAGCAGGGCGGGGGTGGGCAGACTTCATTCACTCCCCCATCCCCAGGCTCTGATTGGCACAGGGGGAGGGGAACACGTGATGTCTTTCTACCACCAGGGGCACATGGCACCTAGAGGGAACAACCAACTCTTTTGAACAGCTGGGGGCTTTCTCTAGGCCCCACGCACTCCTGGCAGGGTGGGGACAGGGGATAAAGACTTCATGTGCTCCTCCACCTCCAAGCCAATCAGGGTCTGTGGGCAGAGGAGCATGCAAAGTCTCCTGGCCCTGCCCCTTCCTCCCTAGGCCCTGCCTGCAACCACTTCTGAAATTCACCAAGTGGACTCTCTTCAAAAATTATTGTCCACCCCTGGCATACAAGCTCACACCATCTGATCCACTGGATTTAGACCTTACTCAGCACTGTCCTTACTCAGCACTTTTCCCCAGGAAAATCTCCTTCTGATCATTGAAAAATTACTGCTTGTTCCTGCTAGATACTGAGCACTAAGGAGATGTGGATGAAATATTCAAGCTGGATTGACCAAAAAAGTTGCAAATTTATGTGGAATTCACAAATATTGTTTTGATTAAGGTTCAAAAAGGACATAGATAAGTTCGTGGAGGATAGGTCCCTCAGTAGCTATTAGCCAGGATGGGCAAGAATGGTGTCCCTAATCCAGTGATTCCCAACCTTTTTCCCATGGAGGAACCCCTAAAATAATGTTTCATATCCCGAGGAACCCCTACCTATGAAAACATTTGCTTGGCCAGAAAAAGTTGAAAGTGGGGAGCACAATTCAATTACTGCTAAATTATTATCAAGAAAATTTATTTGTAAAGAGCTGTTATATATGTCAGCTTACGTTGTAAGAAAAAAAAATATTTATTTATTCCACGATTTCTCGCGGAACCCCTGATGATGATCCGCAGAACCCTGGTTGGGAAACACTGCCCTAATCTATATTTGCAAGAAGTTGGGAATTGGCAACCAGGGGGAGGGGAAGAAAAAACACTGGATGATACCCTGTTCTGTTCATTCTGTCTGAAGCGCCTGGCATTGGCCACTGTCTTCTGGGTTTGTCTAGACTACGGGTTTTTTTCCTGAAGGAGATATGCAAATTTGATGCTAATTTGCATGCTGGGCGGGGGTTTTTTTCCGGGGGAAACCCCCTTTTTTTTTTTTTTTGAAAAACACGCTCTCCCTGAAGAAAAAAAAAAAGGGGGGAGGTTTATGCGGTTTTTTGAAAAAGGGGCTTTTTCCCCCAAAAAAAGCATCCAGGCTACTTTCACTTAAAAAAACCAGCTTTCGAAAAAGCGATCAGAAAAATATATGCAAATTAGCACCAAATTAGCACCAAATTTGCATATCTCATTTAAAAAAAACACACACTCTAGATGTACCCAGAATTCAGTATACAGGGGCAGGTGGACCTTTGGTCTGATCTAGTATCTCTGTTCTTATGTTCTTAGGATTGGAAGAAAAAGAAGCATTAAAAAAAGTTTAACTTTACAGCTTGACAAATATTTTGAAAAAAATCACTTGGAGTTAACTCCAAATGAGGTTGGTTTTTTTGGGGGGGAGGAGGATGGGGGGGTTCCAGTTTTGTGTAATGGCCAACCAACCAAAAAAATCAGTTATTCACACAGCTCTACTTCTGAGCAGGGTTGTGTGGTTTCAAATCCCTTCGATATCTTGGGAAAGCATCCAACTCCTCTGAGTAGGCACTTGGCAAGATTAGGCCCTGAATGAGTACAGAATATGGCCCAAATACACACACATTTACATTTGTTTCTATAAACAAAAAGGGATGTAACTGGTGAACTCTGCCACCAGACTCAGACTGTAGCATTTGGTTTTATTTAATACTGATGCAATATTGAATTCAATTCAAAATGCTAGAGAAAACATTTTGAAGCAATTCACTCTATTCCCAAACCATATTAGTTTTGTTTATTGTTTTTTTTTCATGTAAAATAGTTTGTTATACTTTGATTTCTTTTTGTTTGCAAACTAATAAAATATTTGCATCTGTGAACATTGTCTGAAACACTAGAGAGAAAAAAGAATGAGCCATGCAAATTCTTGTGAAGGATTTCTTTTTGTTTGAAAACTAATAAAGTCTTTACATCTGTGAACAGTGTCTGAAATACTAGAGAAAAAAAGAAGACAATGAGCCATGCAAATTCTTGTGAAGGATATTAGTAAACTCCAAGATATGTCAAAATTTGCTCTAAGAATAACTTCCCAAAAAGATAAAATACAAAGTGCAAAATACAAATTCTATTTTCATAAGGTGAAATTCACTCAACACACCTATGCCCAAGTAGACAGTCTTTATGTGAGTTACGATTTCCGGGGCTGGAAAGGTGAAATCTTATTTTTTCACTGAGAACTAGGCCTCCAGACTTGAGTTCAAACAGCCACCTCCTCAAAACTGTCACTATTTCAACCCATGGAAGGGGCTTCTGCAGTCCCTCCAAAACAGGATGAAATTCACCCATCATACTTTAAAATGGTCATAAAAAAAAAACAAATTGCAAATACAGCTTCTCCCCAAGTTACAAACGAGTTATGGACCAAACACTTGGCCATAACTTGAGCTGTTCGTAACTTGGACCCCACTGCAACGTAGGAATAAGAGATCCTCCGGAAAAGGGCTTTATTCCAGAGGATCGCTCCAGTCTAGACGCTCTTTTCCGGCTTTTCCCCAAGCCGGAAAAAAAGCGGCGGCCATGTTTATTTAAATCCCGCGGGGGATATTTAAATCCCCCGCGGATTTCCCTATTCTGACTTGCCTGCTTTGCATGCCTCTTCCGGAGAAGGGGCCAGTCTAGACGTAGCCGGAGGAGAACAGAGTGACACTGAGTGGGTGAGGCCTACTGTCACTGAAAGGCAAGAAACCAGAAGTCTTTAATTAAAGACCCAGTACTTCAACATTTACTCATGCAAGTTCCCTCACACCTTAACTTTAATGGGACTAGTCACTGAAATAAGGATGTCATTGACATCAATCAAAAGGAATACCACTGTCAGTATGGGTTGCATGATCAGTCCTGGATGCCTCAACTCAGCCACACATTTCCACAACAATAGGCAGGGCTCGACAAATAATACAATCTACTTGCCTGTGGCAAGTAGATTGTAACCTGGAAGAGCCAGGTTTGGGCATGCGCAGATTACCGGACAGCATGGCTGGTAAGCAGGGCTCATCACGGTTTGGAAAGCCCTGGCCATAGGTAATCCAGTAAATCATGGGAGGCTCTTGAAAAATGTGTGCCACACTTTTGAGGAGCAACAGGGGACAGGTGAGACATTATCTCAGCATTTTCTCTCTCTATAGTGCCTTGCCTTGTCCTTAATACTGTTTTAACAGAGTTGTTTCTGTTTGGCTTCTTTGTTCTGTAAAGCCACAGTAATGAAATGCTTTAGTTACACAATATACATGTTATGTAAGGAATGGAATCAAGCAAAATGGCAGGTTAAACCCCTTTGTAACCAAAAATACATTCTTAAAAGCTAATAAAAAAAAGCTTACGTTGAAAGCAGTAGGCAG